AAGATTTAAAATATTCTTTCAAATATATTATTAATATGTTAAATTCTTTCAGTTAATATAATTTTGTACAACAGAGACTGTCACGTCGGCTACGCCGTGAGGCTGGTCGTTGTGGTTGCAGGACAGGCATGATGCAAGACGTGCATGTTCCTTCCGTAGGCAGACGAGGACCAGGTTCATCTAGTCAAGCACCTACAGGGTCCATAGGCCTTGCGTACAACGACGACGACGAGGACGATGACGACGACGTGGAACAGAGGCACGAGGAGCTTGGCCCGTCTCAGCTCCAGGATGCTCCCTCCACTCAGCGTACACAGCCTTCAGGTACTAGGCGACGCCGTCCACCTGACCCTTACACTCCAGGCACCGATGCTCTTGGTCACAAGGGTAAGGGTAAGAGTAGGAGGCAGTGACGGTTCCTTGCACATGTTATTATGTAATATTATGGACTTTGTGAACTTTTATTATGAACTTTTGAGGACTCTATGGACTATAATTATGGACTATGTGGACTATTAAACTACTCATGTATATGGTTTCAGATGAATGTGGCATATATTTCTATGTTTGAACATGTTGTATTGAGGTTAAATATTCATCTCATAATTGTGTATGGATTGAATCCCAAAAGAGGGGAAATTATGTCGAAATTTTCTACCTCGAGTTCGTATTACTCAACGAACATCAGTTTTTTCGGTTAATTAAGTAATCAATTTGTCATGTCACCGTCGAATATCCGCATCATCACCCACTAAACAACTCTTTAAATTGTTTTTTCCAATACATAGAGATGAACGGGCGGCAAAAGTACTTCATTCATTCAATTACACCATGGTACATGGTACATGAACTAACATTGCAAAACTAGCAATGGCAAACTAAACATAACATGCCTTAGGGAATTGAAAGAGTACGGAACATCAACATTGAAAAAGACTAACACAAGTTACTACTAATAATGTTCCCACATAGCAAACTGAGTTGCGCCCTCTCCACAATAGCCTCCCATTGTTGGTGGTGGTGGCGGTGGCGGAGGCGGAGGAGGGCCCTTCTTGTGATAAGGGCACTGGCAGTATAGATCAGTGCATAGTGGCTCCTCGACACCATCGCTCTTATCATCATCATCCTCGTCCTTGGTAACGCTTCCAACCTCTCTTTCTAGGTCAAAAACACGTAGGTACAAGATGTATTGTCGATGGGGATAAATAGGTGGAGGATCGACCTATCTAGTGTAGCCATAGTTCTCTTCACAGCTCGAATCCTGAAATAAGATCAGTCTCTCCTATAAGTACTAATACACATCATAAACATATTTGCAACAAGAGATAGTTCATAACAAATACCCATCCTCACGGGCATCTGAAGAAACGACGACGACCACCTTCAGCGTCGTTGCACATCTGCACTAAGCAATCCTGACCGTGGTGGTGTTTTGGCCAGTCTTCTTTCCGGTTATCATATCCTCTAAGAGGTGCCTCGTTGATGAAATCACTCTTGCTCTCCAAAGGAAACTCATCTAATGGCTCATTAAAGAAGTCTGGACCAAGAGAACCATCCCACAGAATGGGAGGTCCCTTGCTCCCCCCCCTTTCCTCTCCCTTTGCCTACACACTTTCCGCTAGAGGAGCCTCCACCAGACATTGCAACTCTAAAGAAACCAAAACACATGTTTTGAAGGTATGGAGCAAAAGAAGGAGCACTACGCATATATAGCCAAAGCCAGGTTCACCAATAATGGTACCAAGCAAAACATCTGTAAAATATAAGTACTTAAGTCTGCAAAGTGCATTTATTGAATCTAAAAAAGCCACTGAAAAACCTAGATGCTAGAACTGAAAAGCCTACAACTATGTTCAGTCATTTCATCTAAAAAGGCTTGAACTATTTCAAATTAAATTCATCTGAAAAGGCTAGTACAATTGGAAATTAATGCCACTGAAAAAGGCTAGTTCTGTTGTAAATTAATGCCACTGAAAAGGCTAGTAATGTTGGAATTTAATGGCACTAAAAAGGCTACAATGATTAAGATAGTGCAAATTTAAGTACACGACAACAAACTAAGAAGTTCAGTACAAGGGTACAGTCCATCAGTACTTCAAATGCAATACAAGACAACACAATGAAAACTCTACTACTGGACAACATTGTTCAGTAATAAACCATACAACTATGAAATCTAAGAACTATTGAGTACAACGAGGCCACTTTCCCTTTCTCAGGGCATCGGGATTCTCCTCCATCGCTGCTTTAGCTCGGCGTGCACGCTCAAGCTTCTTCTCCTTATCCTCCCTAAACGCAGCAACACGCCTCATTTCCTCCTCTTCCTTGTGCTCCTTTTCTGCAGCCGCCTCTCTGCGTCTCTTCTCCATCATCTCCTTGTCCTCAGCCTCCCACCGTAACAGTTTCTGCATCCATTCCTTGTCTTTAGGCTTAATCTCAGTGTTGATCCACTGCTCAAAATCATAGAGCGGTGGAGAGGTCTGCAACCAATGTAATTGTTACAAAATAAAAAAATCATACAAGATGTTATATTACACAAAATAAATATTACACAACATCATTTCCTCACCATCTTGTTAATGCGGCGCTGACGAAGTGTAGGATCAAACACAAAATTAGAACACATCCAATACCTCTGCCTATACGTATCCTCTTCATCGGACTTGGCCACCTTACAAGGATCGCCACAAAAGCACATGGGCACTAGAACACCACTGGGCAGAGGCAATGGGTCGAAGGAATTTTCGGTTATCCGGCCATAACTACAATGTAGCCATTTTCGTTCTAAGAAACAAAAGCAATTAACAGCAAACCCTACATCTAAGGGTTTTCCATTTAATCCACAACAACGTACCCATAATATAACAATGTTACCTTGGTTTGCTAGCTTTTCCACGCCTTGGCATCCTAAAATTGTATAATATAAATTTTAAAAATCCACAAAACCCTAAGTAATGATGATTTTTAAGTTGAAAAAAACAATTAATATATACCGAATCGATGTGAAAAAATACTAAGAGGGAGCGATGATACCTTGCTCTCGAAGATCTACGGATCAAATCAAAGTTTTCAAGCTCCAATATGCCGATTCGTGAGGTAGGGCGAAGTGGGGAGAGCAAGAACCCGAGAGAGAGGAGAAAGAATGAGATGAAGGCTAGGGCAGAAAGGTTGGTGCGAGGGCTAAAGTACCCAACTTGGCGCCAAGCTAGCTGCCAGATCAGCCACCGTTGTCCACGTGTACAAAGGGCTTCACGCTAAAGCTGCTGGCGCCTTGGCGTGTTAGCTTGCGTCCACCGACGCTGGCGCTAAGCTAAGGGTCCAGATTTTGAAATCATACCTCCAGAGATATATTTGTGAGAAATTTTCGGAAAAAATGGCTAAAAAATAAAAAATTCGAGCCCAGTTGTCAAATTCTCCCTGCAAGTAACGTCACACGTGCACATCCTGCCAATATTTTTGCACTTTCTGATTATCCAAACGGTCAGCTAACCTCCAGGAAGGCGAGAGGAATTCGACAAGTTGACCACCCGGATTGCTTATAAAAATGATTTCATGGAGAAATTTTACCAAGGTTCAAAACACTAAGCTTGGAACCTGCTATTAGTATGCAGCTGTATCAATTGCTTGCCTTGTATGAATGGAATGCCTAGCTCAGTTCTCCGGGCTAATTGAAACCATACTTGCGCTGATCGTATGCCTCAAGTTTTATAAACGTTATGGTTGCACATGACGAGGTAACTGTGAACACCAAAATGAGAAGCGTTGGAAGCAAAAATTAACCAAACTAGATGTGGGTCGCTAGCTAGTTGGTTAATAACTAGTTAAAAATTTAGCTAAAAAATTAGCCCTCCAATTTAAATGTATTAAAACTAATTTTAGTTAATTTTTAGCTAGTTAGCAATTAGCCTATTATCAAACAGACCCCTTTGTCCATGAATGTTCAGTGTAGGAACGATTTTCAGGATGATGAATTCATGTACAAACACTTGTCATTGGGGATTTGGGTGCTGCCATATAATATAATAATAGTAAGTACCATATATGAACAGTACTCAATTTATCCTGAATTATAAAACGTTTGATTTTTTTACACTAAGTTTGACTACTTATCTTATTCAAAAATTTATGTAAATATATACTTTTTTTTCGTGGATTGATTTATTAATAAAAGTTCTTTAAGAATGACTTAAATTTAATTATGTTTATATAATTTTTTAAAAAATAAAACGAGAGGTCAAAATTGAGAAAAAAAAAACATCTTATAATTTGACGTGGAGCAGTACCCAACGTACTACCCTTCTGTCCCTAAATATCTATCGTTTGCGCTTTCCAAGAAATAACTTTGATTAAATATATATTAAAAATATTAATATTTATAGTACATAATTAGTATTATTAGAAAAATATGTGAATCTAGTTTTTTAATAAATTTATTTAAAAATATAAATATTGCACTTATTTTTGTACTAATCAAGGGCACGCACACCGATGGCGACAAATAAAAAGGGACTAAGGGAGTACTCTCGTACGCTCGGCTCCTTCCTTCCCTCCCGTGCGTTCCATATCTCCAGCTCAGGCCCCCCCCTCCGGCCCGGCGTTCGCGCCTCCCCTGTCCAGCTTCTCCTCCCAAAAAAAATATCCCTATCGGCTGGCTGGCCCAGATCCGCCGGCGGCGGGCAGCTCCCGGCCGGATCTGGCCTCCCGTCGACGCCGCTCCGCCATCTCCCCGTCCTCTCGCCGGTGCTTGGCCTCCCTCACCCCGGCAACTCGTGCTATCCCCGTTCTCTCGCTGGTGGCTGGTGAGGAAGAAGGGCATAATCCGGCCTCCAGGACACCGCCGCTCCAGCCAAACGCTCGGCTCAGATTCTCGTAATCGTGCTCAGCTTATAAGCGAGATCCAGGTAAGCGGAACCAAACAGGGCCTATATGATTGTTTTGCAATATTGCATAGTTCACAGCCCACATTCAGCCTTCTTTAATTTTGCTTTAGTGTTGGAACGATGCTGGCAAATAAAAGGGACGGAGGTGATCTTGCAGGAAGCTCAAATGCGAATAAAAGAACCAGGTCATTTCTTTCAGGTCTGCCTGCCAGTTCTTCCTTTTCTTACATGTTTTTTACAGCTCTATTTGAGCACTCACAGTTGTACTCTTTCATGTTTCTTTAACTAGGTGATGACTTGTATTGGTATGCTAATAAAGGCATCTGGAGTGAACTGGGTGAAAAACGTGCTTTAAAGTTGTCAAAAAGTGTTGTCTCGCTTGCTTTATCTGATGGTGATTATGCTTTTGTCTCTTTTAGTTGTCAAAATATATAAACATCTTTAGTTATGCACAATTTAATGATGATGTTGTACAGGCCACACAGTGCTATTTTCATTCTCAGGCATAGTTGTAGAAGAACTGAGGTGTGGTTATAGGTTTCTGACTTCAGCAAGTTTGATTAGAGCTTTAAAAGAACATGATGACCTGAAGGTTGGTGCTGTTAATCATCATCTACTAATCTTGCCTTTTGATGTAAGATATTCCTGATCATTCTGTGCTGTTTCCTTTCTTTATCTTTGTAGATTGAAGTGCGTCATGAACAAAATGTTGTCATTGGATTTCTGGAGGAATATGATTTAGATCATGAAATTGCTGTTGTCAAAATCACATCATCCCTTAATCTTAATGCTGTGTTTCTCCATAATGTGTCCCACTATCAACCCTATAACGATGTAGTATCTCTAGGGCGTGACATCTCTGGTAAGTTGTTGGCCACAACTGGGAAGCTGACTCCTATTTCAAGCGGATCAGATCGTCGATATCTTATGTTCTCTTCCTGTAAATTATCTGAGGTACACTTGCATTGTAATTTGAGAGCTTCTTCTGTTTCTGTTATTATATGCACTGAACTATAGACATCTTGGCTTACTTCTATTTGTTGCAATTGACTGCACTGCACACAGTTTGACTGCTAATAATTTTTAAATTGTGCAATTCGGAATGAATGGATTAGTTTGTTAGATTCCCATTGGGGCATACTTTAATGTTATTACATATTTTTAAGTATTCTTACAAATTATATGTAAAATATTACAGTAGATTTCATACCAATCTGTAATCTGTAATTGAAATACTTTGAGATTATAAATTTCTAAGTAGATTTACAAATTATTAACCAATTAGTTATGTTTACAATTTTCATGAGACAATCATCATGACAAGGGAAAGTTCCATGTAGCCCTATTTTGTTCTGGTTAACCCTAAACCCATGTTGCTTGTGACATTTTGTTCCAGTTTATGGAAGGGGGACCACTTTTTGATTGTCATGGGGCCTTCGTTGGCATGAACCTTGTTCCGAGTATGGAGAAATCCTTTTTCTTGCCGGTGCATTTGATTTCCGAACGGTTGAAGCATTTTGAGACAACTGAGGAAAGGGCTGTATTTCTGGCACGGGTAAATGAATTGAAACCGGAGAGGTATGTCTTACAATGTTTCCAATTTGCTTTTTTACGTTTCTCCTTGCTGGTTTGCCCACTGTCATCTGTCCCAGTTCCCTATCCGTACTTGAGCTTATTAGGTAGTCTGTTAAGTATGCAAGTCTTGATTGTTAATTGCTGTTTTGTAAACTTTGTCGTTTGCAGTAGTTTTTAATATTTTCCCATAGTAACAACTTGATTCTTTGGTGCCTCTACCAAAGAATGTTGCACTGGTGCAAACTGTTCTATTGGCATTTATGACAGGAAGCCTACACTATTGATTTAGCTATAAATTTTGTTTCAATATTGAAGGCAGTATATTTGTCTAGATTAATGTATGGGGATTTTTCTTTCAGTCTAAAATATGCACACTCAATCATTGACTGTTCTATTGAAATATTTTACGTCCAATTTGCCCATACTACTTAAGATGCCTGTCTTGTTTCTTTCTTACAATTCCACTCATCTTGGTGTTGCATGTTAATATTCTTGTTTTATACATTTTACTTTTGGGTTAATTAGTATATTCACGTTGATATTCTTCCACAGGGTTGGAGGAACACCCACAGATATACCGGACTCCCATCCTAAAGGTGACTACACAGCAGCCACTCAGATCACTAAGGCCATGTATGGATAAATCTAATCCCTTCCAATCCATCTGGATTGGGGTGGAAAATGAATTAACCTGTCAATCCCTCACAATATGTTGGCATGGAGTGGGTTAGGCTTTATCCAAACAAGGCCTAAATGTTGTTTTAGGGTGCATTTCATTATTATTTGTAAGGTCCTCAAGTTCTGCACATTAAATTATACGTTTCTACTGTTATAATAGTACCTATTAATTACTTTAGCCGTTTAAGGTGTTACCTTGGAGTTTGTGCTTATCAGTTAATATTTTTGCACTGGCGTTATGCCCGTATGTGGTGATGTAGCTTAAATCAAGCATAATACTAGTCTAATCTTGAAAGTTGCATAGTGCACACATGCAAATAGCATTATACTTCTTCAAATTGAGATACATGTCTAGATAAATCCATCCACAAAGGATTTGGATTTGAGGGTGGATAGAGGCATAGAGCACACCAACACCATCACTATTCCACTATCCTGGTTTTAACACGACAGATGTTCTTCTGTATGTTGAAGCAGTCAGTTCTAATGGGTTATTAATTGTACTCTTATGTGCTGATTATTATTTGCAGATTTTTATCTTAATCTCACCTAAATTAGTATTAGCACATCTAAATCCTAATCACTTTACTCCTTTTTGCACCAATACATGCAGTTGCTCCCGACAAGGATCATTATCGGTATCTTGAAGTTTTGGGTTATCCCAGGCCAACTAAAAGTGAGTCGATGCTTGTACATCACTTGACTAGTACTGAATTGCACCTTTTTGCACCTCTGCTGTGCAACCTAACAGCCATGATATCTTTGACCAGGTGGCATGACTTTGGTTAATACTTTTGAAGAGCCTTTTGGTGATATATATCATCATGGTGTCTGGAAGCAACTCAGTAGAGGAGTTAGTGAAAAGATACATCATAGTGTTGTCACCCTCGCTTCATTTAAGGGTGATTTTGCGTTATTCTGCCTTTTCCTATTTCAGACTTGTACTTGGTCATCATGTGCTATTGTTCAAAATTATGTTGTCCAGGAGATGAAAGATTCTTTGCATGCTCCGGAACTTTCATTGACTGGGATGGTAAATTTCAATATAATGGATGTCAGATTATTCTGACTTCAGCATGCTTGGTTAGGAATCCTGATTATCCTTACGATGAAGGAAACAAGATTGTTGATGGCTTGAGGGTTGGTGCTCTTAATTATATTTTTTATCCTTGTTTCTGTTGGATGAGTAATTTGTTTTCTTTGAGTAAAAGGCAACTTGGTTTTAACTAGTGAAGTACAACTTGGTTTTGACTACTGAAGTAGGAGCAAAATTGGTTTTGTATATGTATTAGCTAGAGCATAGTTGTTGCTAGCTGTGTTTGAGATGTACTAGACTGTAGCAGTTCGGTTACTGTAGCAAACCGACCTAAATGCCTATATAATGAGGGTGCTAACCTCATGTACATGTAACCTTTGTGAGTTTGAATAAGAGAATAATAGTATCTCCATTGGTTCCTCTCCTCATCATATTTCCTTCCCATACTAGTTAGTTAGGGTTAACAGTTTCTTCCAAGGTACTGCTTAAATCTCATTATATCATTATTTGCAGATTAAAGTGTCAATACCAGGCAAGAAACGGAGAAAAGGGACCTTAATACATTGTAATCTACATTATAATGTGGCTCTAGTCAGTGTCAAGACATCCAGTGCTGTCTCTCTTCCAGTTGTTAGACATGCTAGGGAAAATCTGTGTTCTAAGTTAGTAGTTGCTGTGGGGCGTTGCTTCAAATCAGGTGATTTAATGGCTTCAAGTGGAGAACTGGCTCCCCACTGGTCTGGTCCTTTTGATTTCAAAAGGCTTCTATACTCTACATGTAGAATCAAAAAGGTATTGCTGTTGATATATTTATGCCCACAGAAGTGAATAATTCTGTCAGAATACAAGTTTAACTTTGATTTGGCATTACAAATGACAATTTCTCAATATAACCTGGTTAGGCTGGGATTGGAGGGCCCCTTGTTGATGCTGAAGGGAACTATATTGGCATGAACTTCTATGACCAAAAAGTGGGCAACCCGGTCCTGTTTTGTGATGATATTGTTGATATCCTGGATCGTTTTAAGAAAGGGTATGTCTAGATTTTCCTTATCTATTTAATTGCCTTTCATCAATGTTCGGCTAGGCTGTTTAAATGGCAACCAAAGTTCAAAAAAGCGCTAAGCGCTAAGCGAGCGGTGACCTGCCGCTTAGAGCATAAGCGGGCTTAAGCGTACAAAGCGTCCGCTTAAGCTCCGAAGCGTACAAAGCGGCAGCCTCCCGCTTAGCGCTTCAGCGTGCTTAAGCGGCCCCTAAGCGACGCTTTTTGGAACTATGACGGCAACCAAACTGTAAACAGAGGTGAAGTGTGTTGTTTAGGCTGTAAAAGGTCCTATTAAACGGTTGAACACAGAATGTAGTTAAATGACATTAGACGGGCTAAATGGCCGTTTAGCCTACCATTTAGTTGAACACCGGTAAATCCACTTGAAATTGTAAATGCACAAATATGTATACTTAATTCTTTTACATGTATAAATATGTTTACTTGTTACATGTATGAATGTGTACTTAATTTTTTTTGTGCATAAATATGTATACTTGCTTGAATATTATATTGTTTATAAGCATAATTATGTATATTTAAGTGATATATAGTACAAAACCGTTTAGACTGTTTAACTCCAATTAAACACCGTCTAAACGGTCTAAACGCTAAGCGAGGGTGACCTATTGTTTACCGTTTAGCGTTTAGGATAGCATTGAAATATTCAGGATTTGATTTGCACTTGGCACTTGGATTTGCATGCGCATTTTAGTTATCTTGTTGGAGCAGGTTGAGTGAAGCATAATATTCTGTTGAATCTGTTCTTTTGCATGTTTGGTAGGACTGCTGCTGAACTTGACAATGACCTGACTCGGTATGCTGATGCGTCCCCTTACTAAAAGTTACACTCAGTGTTCTGTATGAACGTGATCAAATAACATTTTTTGGGGGAAACTGTTGAATTACAGGTGGCCAGTGCCTTGGCCGAAATGGCTTCGTCCAGGTGATCGGAATGGTCTTATGGAATGGGAACAGAGAATCATTGACAGTGGATGCCCATATAACTACTCAGGTGGAGATATATTTATCGTGAAGTAGTCATTGCTCCTGGTTGAGTTTGCTTGACACGTGTATTCGTGGTTTTCGTAAGATAATAAAACGATATATTGCTATTGTACTAGATGCTGGGGTTCGCCTGATTATTATGGAGACTGTTTGCTCAGTTTGCCTGGTGCTACTGAACTCTTGATCAGATTCTCTTGAGCCGTACGAATTAATGTGTAAAAAAGATTTTAAATATTTGACGTGGCGGACCGTTTATGGACATGGTGCTGGGTTCTGCCGACATGGCATTTGATCATGTGTTTACGTGACACGTTAGCTTGGCGTGGCATAATCATGCGGACGATTGCATATGAAATCGATAACTCGAAGTACTTGCTGAGGATAACATTTTTCTAATAATAGCTACGACGAAGTCATCTACTGCAAATATCGACTCATCTGCGGGGACGTCTACAATCCGATCCGTGGTGGTATGGTCTGCCTTCCTGCGATCTCAACCGTCCGTGCCATCCCTGCCCTGCGATCGGGATCGCCCCTCCCCGCAATTTGCGCCACCGCGGCACCCCACGCGGCCACGCTCGCTTCGTTCCCGTGTGGGCGTATCCCCCTCCATCCCCGCTACGTTTGTCCTCTCTGAGCCTCGATCCACTCTCCTCTCTCTCAATGTAGATCAATTGGTGAATTCCGTGATGGCCAGTTCGATGTTGCATTTCAGTTCAATTTGGAAGAACTTGGTCCAAGATTTTGTGAGCTAGCTTAAGTAGTAGTAGAGGAGGAGAAAGCCCATGTGCTCCATGCACCAGCCTTGCAATATCTTTCAACTATGGTAAATTGGTAAGTTGGCTGCACAATATGATGAACAAGTTAACTTGAATCAGTTTTCTATGTTTTCATCAAGCCATACGACTATATGAGATGATAGTTCCACTCGGATCAAAACAACTTACAGAAGTTGGAAGCCACGATTTTGCAAACTCATTATCACAATTTGGTGTGCTCCATAAAGGCATTTAAAAAAAAATAAAAGCCATTATCTTAACATGTAACATATGTCGAGATGATCTCCGAGTTAGGCCCGACGGACCGGCTCGGGCCATGATCTGCACCCTGATCGGGGGCGCCCAATCCAACAAGGTTGGTGGGCCCTCTGTCGCACAGTGTCAATAAAAGGAGGTGGGAGGTTGGGACACTTGGGACGAGGTTCATCGCGATGGGAAGCGCCACAGCCTAGCCGCTGCCGGACGTCACTGCTACTCTTTCACCGACTGCGAGCGCACAAGCTACCAAGGTACATCAACAAGTTCTTAAGCTATTATCAAGTTTTACCCGCTAGATCTGCACCTAGAGATCCTATAGATTCTAATATTGGTATCAGAGCAAAGGTTCTTTCGTGTAGAGCTAGTAGGGGAAGCATTTAGAAGGAGATGAATCGCATGAATAAATCAAAATCGAATCAAATAGAAACCCTAACCCTAACCCTAGAATGCCAACGACGAAAAGGGGAGGAACCTACCGTGGCACCACCGCGTGTGGGAAGAACGACTGCACAGACGTTTCGCCGGCGCGCGGGAAGCCTGGCCGAGCCGTGGGCTCGCCAGCGCCTCTGGCGCTCCGTGTTCGGGGCACCAAACGGGCACCACCGCAGTGCCAATCGATGGCGCCGCGTGTGGCTCCAGCCGCACGCGTGCACCGACGAAGCGTGCCGAGGCAGCGCTGCCACTCCTTCCTCCGGTCACCATCGGCGGTCGCCGTTGCTCCGCCACAGGCACTCGCTTGGCTGCGGTGCTGAGGAAGCAGGGGGAGGGAGAAGCAAATGACCTAGGGTTAGGGGGGGCCGCGACAGAGGAGCGTTTTTGATCCTCCGATCCACGCACGCAGCCATCGGATGAGATCCGACGGACACCGTTCACTGGACCGCAACCGGCCTAGGCGGGAAGATGCATTGCCGGCCCAGGTTGCGGCCTGGGCACGACGCACGTGGCGCTGCGAGGCTGGTCACGGGCTGATCGTCGTAGCTGGGCTGCCGCGCTAGAGCGAGAGCGAGCTGGGCCACGAGAGCGCAGGCGCACACACGGATGAGCTGGGCCGCGTGCGCGTAGTTGCTGGGCTGCTCGCTGCTGTTGCGCGCTGGGCCGGGCTAAATGAACAATAGTCAATGTTTTTAAGTGTTATTCATTTTTAGAAGCAGATTTAAATGAAATTTTTAATCAATTTTGAAGGTTGAAAATTTCTGGTAAAATTGCACCAACGTGTTAGATTTTTTTAAAGAGTAAATGTGTACACGAAAATGCTTTTGAAAAGTAGATAATTATTATCTTTTCATGTTTCCGCTTTGAAGTTAATGTTTATTATCTTCTAATTAAATTCGAACCAACGTTAGGATTTAATTTTGAAGAACAGATATATTATTTTTTATTCAGTAAATTATGATTATGTTTATCCTCTAATTTTAATTGGAACCAACCGGAAAATTTAAATTTGAGGAGTAGTTATATTTATTTAAGTTAATTTATAATATTGCTATTATCAACGTTGGTCGAAGAAATAGCAATATCATAAATTTATTTACGAGTTTAAGTTTGAAATTTAAATCTCTGATAAATTTCGCACCAGCGTGATCAATTCTTCAGAGAGTAGATAAGGACCAATAAAATGCTCCTAAACTAGTATAATGTATTTTATTCTCATGTTTCTGCTCCAAAGATGTTGATTATCTTCTAACTAAATTCAAAACTAACGGGAGAATTTAATTTTGAAGAGTAATTATATATTTTTCAAGTTAATTATGATATTGTTATTTTTCTATTAAATGTTGATGATAATAATATTATAAGTTTATTCATGAGTTTTTCCATGCATTAATTCTACTTCTACTCAACGGTGATGTGGAATTCATGTAGAAGATTGTTTTTTGTCGTAATGACCAAGTTTTCATTATTGTAAACAAATATTCTCCATCATTATGATAAGAGTTGCAATAAGTCAGATGCATGTCTAATTCGACCAACGTTGGATTAAACATGGAATTATCCCACATGGGAAGAAGTTTGGCATATTACTTATTTTGTGACGACTCATGTATTTTGTGTATCCCGCATAGCGAGAGAAGTTTGGGGTAGCTCTTATGCTATCCTAGTGTTGACAGTGCATTTCTATTGTGTCATGGTCATTAAACACTCAATGGGTTTTAGGGCCACAAGGGGAGCAATCCCAAAATCACACCAATGCTAAATCTTAAGAAGGTGGAGGATCTGTTAACTAACTCTTTACAAACATATGCAGAACGTATCCAGACACTCTAACTGAGTAGCTCATTGCAGAGTAATCTAGTAATGGTGGAATGCACATTTTAAATGTATAATATGGCCACTAAGATAGATTCATTAGATGTGGATCAAAAAGAAAGGGAAAAAGTGAAGGCTTGACATGTTGAATCTATCAACTGAGCTGAGCACATCCATTAGAAAATGAACAATTCAAATATTTCCATGTAGTATCATTTGAACATGAAATGAGTTTAAGGATAAAAGAGACTGACATACGAACCAAAAGATAAGAAGGACATGCGAGCATGACTTGTAGACATTATTGAGTTCACGAAGTGGAATGAAAAAAGTGTACTCCCATACGAATCAAGAAATAACTTTGTTTACATGACATAATCATATGAATAAAGTAAGTCATAAATGTCTCCTCATTCACAAGAGTTTTAAATAGTTTTTGAAATTATGGCAGTAAAGTTTATGCCACATTTCAAGGGTGAGAATTATGAGATCAATTAAGAAAGACAATTAAGAAAGATACTCCCTTATACTTCAGATAATGAGATGCATAGTGTCCATTGAAGGCAAGAGTGATCTATAAAAGATGAATGTGATTGTGTGATTGTTGAGGGAGTACAATGGTCATAATAACGATACCCCTAAGCAGAAAATAGCTAAATTCTTGGACCTTTTATGGTTCCGATAGGAAGATAGCGTAGTCAGCCAGAATTCATTCTGGACGAGTCTAAAAGATGTTAAGGTGGTGCTTGAAGCGCCATATGAAGTTTTAATAAACTAAACCCAAATAAGAAATTTGAAGATACACTATCTTTGTAGAATATGGGATAATCTGGGAAAGCATGGTATGTAGAGACTTAAGCCTTAAAGAGAAGTGGGACTACGCGCCCACCCAAGTGATTCAAGAGAAACAAATTTATCAATACCTGTTGATACTGTATGACTTATACAACACCTGTTATTAGCTCATCAAAGAAGATGAAAAATATAAACAAGGATCTTGTTATACAAGAGCCTATAGAATCAATTGTTTCTTGACAATAAAGAGCAACAACAACCACATATAAAAGAAATGCCAGTAGATGAGGCCCTAGAAGGTCTCAAAGAATAAGAAAAACAACTATAGAAGATGAAATAAAATCGATGAATACCAACTATGTTTGGAACTTAGAAGAAATTCCTAATGGAGCCAAAATAGTAGGCTGTAAATGAGTCTACAAGACAAAATGTGACTCTATAGAGAATGTAGAAAGATATAAGAATCATAATAGCATTTGTGGCACATTACAATTTAGAGTTACATCAGATGAATGTAAAGACGACATTCCTCTACGGGGATTTGTATGAAAAGCATATACATGGCACAACCCAAAGGTTTTGTCATGGAAAGAAATAGAACGTATGGGATGTCTCCTGCTGAAATCCATTTATGGATTAAAAACAAGTCTCTAGACAGTAGTATTTAAAGTTGATGAAACAATAAGAGAGTTTGGATTTAAAGAGAATGAAAAGGACTATAGTGTTTATACAAAGTTTTAGAATGGAAAATTCATTTTCCACATCTCTGTATAGTTGATATCCTACTAACAAGTAGTGATGTTTATATGCTATTGGAGAAGTTCTTGTCCTCAAGTTCCAATATGAATGATCTCGGTAAAGCTTGATTTGTGTCTGGTCATTGCTTCGCTCAGCATCCGGTCATCGTGTATATCACTGTGGTTGCACGGTCAATGATCGGACGCATCCGGTGCC